CGAACGTGTCGCAGCTTAAGGTTGTATTATTCGTAAAATCTCTGCCAAAAATTTAAGACATGTAATAAAAAGCTGTGTACAATATTTGAAGCAATGAATTTTGAGAAAAAATTATAATATCCTCAAAATTGATATTATATCAACTTTAAAATATTCTTAAATCATGTATTATGAATTATACAAAATTATAAAATGCTGTCATTGTTACATTCATATTCTTTCATAAACGAAGTCACAAACTTCTGTCATTCGACATGAAAAGTCAAGATGTAAGAACTTTTTTAATAGGCTCGCTAAATTTCTAAAATTCTGTACAGTGTTTTATTAATGTAATACCTAATATCTGTTAAAATTTCAATACTTTGTCATTATTTTTATATGAGTTCATACAACCTTAGTATGAATAAAACTTTCACACGCTGTCTGTCAGCATTATTTAAGGCATTTCACCGAATTATCCTCATTTATTAATCACCAACGAACGAATACGTATTGTTCAACTAAATTCAATTGTCACAGGATACGGTGCCCCAAATTTTCTCCAATGAATGCATCTTCATACATTATAGATCAGTTGTTAAGTAATGACACGACGCGATATCAATCTACGATTGTATACTATTTATATGAAATAAATTATTGAATATCTACAACGGTTACGGAAGCGTCTAATGGACGTTTGACAATGTTTAATTATGTTGGAAGGCCGCTGGTCGACTTTCGATAGGAGTTTACGTACGTGGTGAAAGTTATTTAAATACGATAAATATTTTATCGTAACATGTGAAATTTTTGTGTTCAGATATTTATGCACGTTCGGACGAGTCCATCGACACCAAGACTGAGTACTACTCTTTACCCCAGCCAAAAGTAAATAAAAACCGTCGTTTTCAATTTATATCCGCCGTACGGAAAATTATCAGAAAACCGAGGGTACGACGTCGAAAATTTCCTCGCACGACGCGAGGCAAGTAATATTCGATTAATTCCACGAGGCTTTACTCGAACAAAATATTTTATTCACAGAGCACACCGAATTCGATAAGTTCCCATGTTCAACGACTTGTCCAAATTGTTTAAGTTACATAAGGACCGAAGTCTATCATTACAGTACTTGCGTGACGCATGCAGTAGCTGTGAGTTTGACTCTCGTTTGGTGAGTACATGAAACGTGTTTGAAGATGCATAATTGTAACGTGGAATCTTTGTCATTCCAGCTTGTGTACCATGCCGTACAATTCTAATAAATATAAAAACACGGCGCACTATTGTCCCAGGTGCAACATTTTTTTAGGAACTAAATTCGGTAAAGGCAGAAACATATTCTTTTGCTGTATTTAATAATGTAATGCTGTGCACCACGAGTGAAGTATTTTGTTCGATAATAATTTATATGAACACGCTTTTAAATACAATTTATGTCAAATATGAATACTGTTTTGAAATAAACTTTTTACAGTCACGTCTCTATGGAAACTTTGTTTATTTCCAATCAACTTTCACGAAATTGGAACGTGACATTGTTTGCACCGTCGCATTCTCTGTTAATAACTCGATTTCTTGATTGAAATCACATAAGTTGTATCAAGAACGAAGTATAAAATCACTGACATTGAAATATCGTTTCGACTCACCGCGTTTCTGCCAAGTTCCGATGAATTTCACAAAAAACCATTGCGTCGCGTCTTGTCTGTACCCTGGAAGAGTTACACAAATGGCGCCAGAGCCTGAGAAGGAGCTGCACTTGCGCGAATATTCGAACTCAAACTTCGTTTCCAACGTGTCCAGATCGTTCACAAGCCGCACGTGAAACGAATTCCGTGCTGGATGCCCAATAGCGGACCTGGAACAAATTAATTGCAAATCAGCCAAATGCTTGAGCAAGTTGAGCGTAAATTGTACCAAATTGTATGAACCGGGATCAGGTGAAGTCAAAGTGCCAGTCATTCATTATTCCGATCCGAATTGTCCTTCGCTCATGCTGTGGTAGATCAATTAAGAAACGATGGGAGCCGTACGTGTGATCAACGATGATAGCCAGTTTTACGGTGAAATGGCCAGTGCGGGAGCGAAATTGGTGGTAGTCGATTTCACAGCGACATGGTAAGTCTCTCAGGGTTACGTCTAAGGGGTTATCTGCTATTTCAAGATCTTTTTATGTGTCACAAACAACAGTTCCTAATTTTACGAATTTAATGAATCGCTTCTTTCGTTTCTGTCAGATAATTTATGGGCAGGTGTCATTCGTTACATTTATTATCATTGATTTCATCGTTTGTACATTTCATTATCGTTATCGCGTTATGTTTTGATTTACTTCCTGTTATATTCGACATTTAGCATTACGTTGAAAGATCGTTTTACAGAAAACCTGATAACAGTTTTTTCGATCGTAATGCCATGTATTTACGTAAATAAAAATGCATTGTTGGGGATTAATTAACAGGTGTGGCCCATGCCAGAGAATCGCTCCAGTATTCGAACAGTTGTCAGTGAAATATCCGAACGCAGTATTTCTGAAAGTGGATGTTGATAAGTGTGCGGACACGGCTGCTATGCAAGGAGTCAGTGCGATGCCGACGTTCATATTTTACCGGAATCAGGCTAAGCTAGGCCTGTGCCAAGGTGCAGACCCGGCCGGGCTGGAGTCAAAGATTCAACAGTTTTACGGAAGTGGAGAGGCAGATGATTCAGACAGTCCAGTATCTGGACATGTACGATTTAGTGACAATGTTTATTACCATATCTTTCGAATAATATTACTTGCACTGGTTCTGTACTTCTGGAATAAGTACCAATACCAATGAAAAGTTGTGGTAACCTTCTTTCAGTGGATATTAACACTATTACGACACGCTTCCAAGTTTGTTCAAAGATGAATTTACCACTTGCATGGATTCTTAATTTTTGTTTCAATCATGTTTTATAAGTACCATAGAATCGAACCTGTTGATACATGTACGTTCGAAGTGTAAAACTTGTACCACGTTTAGATGTTCTCGCATTGAATAAAACAGTCTTTTTTCATATATATATTTCCCTGGATGTTTGTACCCAACTTTATTGTATGTAAAATAATAATAGTCTTACGAAATTGTGGGACGATTCAAGGGATTCTGGTAAACGTAACTTTTACAGATGGATCTAACTCCTTACATCACCAAGTCGACGTGCGAATGTTTAAACGAGTCCGATGAACACAATCTTCAGCACTGTTTGAACCCTGACGAGGGATACTTGGAAAGCGACTGCGATGAGCAACTGATCATATCTATTTCATTCTCTCAGGCAGTTAAAGTACATTCGCTGAAGATCAAAGCCAAAGAGAATGGGCCAAAAAATATCAAACTGTACATTAATCAACCGAGGACGATCGACTTCGACATGGCCGATTCCAATACGAGCGTTCAGGATTTAACGTAATTGATCTTCCATTAATAAATTGACAAATCCGTTATCGACGCTAACTGCAATATTTATTTCGGCGCAGATTAACGAAGGAGGATGTCGCGGAAGGTAACCCGGTTTCTCTGCGTTACGTCAAGTTCCAGTATGTGCAAAATCTACAAATTTTCGTGAAAGACAATCAGAGTGGTAGTGAAACGACGAGGATCGATTATCTGGCAATGTTCGGGTCGCCGGTCTTAACGACGAATATGGGCGATTTCAAGAGAGTGATCGGGAAGAAGGGCGAGAGCCATTAACAGATTCCGATTGTTTAAATGTAACGAATTGTAAGAGACTATGTTACGTCAAATAAATTTCGCCATGGCAATAATTGCAATGATGAAATACATTTTTTTATGCATTTTTTAAAATGAAATGCAGTCAGAATCTCTACCATTAAAATAATTAAAACTTGCGTCGATTTCTATAAAATAAATTAGACCAAATAGCGAAGCGTACTCCTTTTAGTTGTAAAGAATTGTTATCAAATCTTCGAGTGATCGTACACACGATCTTGTTAAGTGTAAGAGAAAAGAATACAAATTTTTGTACCTACAATAAAGGATTGGAAAAGAAGCTGATGAATTATTTATTCAGTGACCATTGGATCATATAACGGGATGGGGGAAGATGATACGATTTTTATTTTACATAAAAACTTTTAATTTTATTAACATGTAAAAAATCACAAGTATATTACAAAATCTCGTTCAGGGGGACGTTTTATGAATTCGCCAGATTCCACCACAACGACAGGCTCGAGCCCACCTCTGGTCCCATGCCCTGATCGCAGCCGTCCTCGTCATGTTTTGAACTTGGGCCTTTCCACCGCACCTGAAATTATCAATTATAGCCTCTCTCGTTCAACGAAATTAATCTAAAGTGAAACTCCTTATCATTAGGGTTCGCTGTATGCTGTACCTTGTACATTGTTTAACTAGAAGCGGTTGTTTCCCGAGGTATAAGTGCCGGATACCATCTACGATCTGCCCACTATGCATACAACCCTCAACTGGGTTAAGCTCGGGTAAAAATAACAACTGTTCAGGCTCTGTACCGTACTCTACCTGTAATTGAAATATAATTAGAAACAGGTATTTGAGACTGACGTATGAAAGAGTCGTGCATCTTTACCTGTAAAGGAAAACTTTGATAGAACAGTACAGGGGTAGCTATAGCCGTCATGCTATTACCGTGGTGCAATTGTGGTATCATAATCTGGTTAGGTAGCAGGCAACAGTCATCTGGAAGAATTTTATCGTCGCATCCCCTATTTTATATTTTATCTAACTACTTGCGATAATGATTTGAATGATAATTATGATACGTATAATAGTCTTCAGAATGAATTAGTAATTATATCTCGGACACAGTAATTATATCTTCCGTGTCTTCGTTCGCCTCGTCCGTGGAAGCGTTGTCTAATGAAAGACCCGGCTTCTCTTCGTCCAAATTTACAGACCATTCTTTGATCGGCTCTGGACAAGGATCGATATTTAAAAACACTTCAGATTTTACACTCATCGGACTTTTCGGACTCTCTACGTCTGCGATGAAGAACGTTGCTTCTATTGATTTTTTCTCCTCGTTAATATCGTTTTCCTTAGTCGACGCGAAGTCACTTGGGAGAAAAGGTTTCTTTTCGGTTTCCTGATGGTTTCTTGCTCCACTTCGTTCGGCCTTCTCAGCCTCTCTTATAAGATCGATGAAAAACAATTCTCTAGGCGAAAGTGGTCCTTTCGCTGATTCCGTTTCCAATTCATCTTGCGGAGTAACAGTCACTAATTTTAAATAATCTTTCACATCCGGCTTTTCATCATCATTTCGTGATTTCTCAGAATCCAGATTTTCATCGACTTCGTCGATATTTTCATCGACGTTCGCAATATCGTTACCAGAATTCCGACGATGGATAACAAGAGGCGGAAGATCTTTGTGTTTTTTATTTTTGTTCTCTCGAGATTCGTCCGAAACGATTGTATCCGACTTATTATTAATTAGTTTAGGAAAAAGCGAAACCTGGCGTTTCGCGTCAATCAAAGATGTCAATTGTTGGGAATCATTTGTGCCGTACGATCGCGACGTCGCATTATCTTCGCGTTTGGTTCCCATACACTTCCAAGATAGAAATAGACACAACATAATGAACAGCCAAATTAGAAACGCGATGAACCAATATAACACGAGCAAACGGACGGACGCATGGTCAGACTTATGAGAATTGTGAGCAGAGAGAGTACCGATTAATAAAGGAGTGAGTATGAACCAATAGATTAAAAAGATACAACAGGTTACCGCGCAGAATATCGCTGATCTATAAAGTTTCGAATACGAGTAACTGTTTTTCGAATCACGTTCTTTCATTAATAGCTTATGGTTCTTCAAAGCCAACGAATTCGTGTGTTTCACCGCTAATTTCTCGGTCATGTTTCACAATAAAAAAAGAGTTATTGGAATACTATAATTTTATACAATTGCACAGAGGCATCTACATACACTCTTTAGCGTATTTGCCACAACTCAGCGAAACAATCTGTGATTTACTTGGAGCAAACGAGGAAGTGGTGTTTTATCTTACTTCCTACCGACCAGCGCGTTGCGATAAAATCCCGCCACGAATGACTCCCTATTATTCATGCCACTACTATTTCCAATAGCTAATGAAACTCACCGATCAGCCCATCGTCGACTTGCTGCGTTTGACCATCTCCATTTGGCTGGACCAATTTTGACAATAAACGAAACAGCAAAGCTAGAACATCCAGGTTGTCGGCGCTGCGTAAAAATACCGGAAGACACGAAGGACGCAGCAAACCCCATATTCGTATAATAACAAGCAACTCTCTCAACGTGTTTAAAGCTTTATGGTCCTTTAGTAGTTCGTACTGCCAATTACATGAAACGAAACGAACAATTAAAACCATATTGCTCGATTCAGCAACCTCGAAATTTTACTAATAAATTCAAAATACTAACGCCGCCGGATTTCATCTGCAGTCGTTGCTCTGGGAGACGAGCTAAAAGGTTCAAAGCTAGATCAGCTACCCATTGAATCAACTGTTGCAACGATTGAAGAGTGCTCGGTTCCACTGTAAACTCCTTCGGATCGAGATGTAAAAGAACCTAATAATCGTACGCGATTAGAGATCAGTCAACGAACCTTTTCAGAGGCGTGTGCACAATTTGTTTTACCTTGTCTACGTCTGTTATTGCATCGTTAATCACAGCTGCTAAGCTCTCGGCTGGTCCCTTATCGTGAGAAATCAGGTCCGACGGTCGTAACAATGATTTGAAAGCCGTCGCTACCGAATGTATCATAAGCAGCGATGATAAATCGGCAGCTTTACTCTGGCCCGATACTAGCATCCTAAAAGTAATAATGAAATCTCTGTCGCGAATAGTTTGAGCGTCAATTTTGTCCGGGAAACGATACGAAACCTGTATAGCGATGTCTTGATGGAAAGGAATTGAATATAATGATATTGCTGTATAGGCTGTAACTGTCTGTTGAAAGAAACGTCTAGTCTTTCGCATAACGGCTCGATCATCGAGGATCTCAAACATAACAATATGTCCAACCAATCTAATCCGGTTACTAAACAATATTCTAATAATGTACAAGCGTAACTAAGGGTTAATGATGGTCCTGAAAAAATAATATCGTATGATGCCTCGTCCCGTTAGACAGTTTGTCAGTCGTTTCAGAAACCTACCTCCATCGGGTAACAATTTGTACAGATATAAATTCCCACGTGTATCACAGACTAGGAGCACGCAGCCTAGCCAAGAGATATCTATACTAGCTATCGACACTGAGCTCTTGAAATATTTATTGTTCGGTTCCTCGGGTCGCCATGCCATGTTCAAGGAGGAGTACGATATCTCCTTCAAACAGTCGCGACTCAAGCAATGCACCGATGAATCTGCCAAAGCTACTATAACGTAACTCGGTGGAGGCAACGTGGTGACTATAGATAATTTCGTGGTTCCTATCGCAGTTATCGGTGACTGGCACCGGTATTGCGATTGATGCTGCCATACCTATAAACGAGCACCTCGTTAAGTGACTGAAATTGCGGTTCTTAAGTTTAAACACCTACCACAACTGTTTTGAATGGCTCTAGCGTTTTTGGTTGAAATAACTTGTGAACTGGCTGAGACTTCTCTCGCAACTCCCATACTTCTACTATACCACCGCTGTCGCTATTCACAGCAATAACTAACGAATCCGCGTCCTCGCGGACCACGAATTTCAATTGCGTCACGTTTGTATCTGAGAAAATGATCCTATTATTTCAATGTCTGAGAGTCGATGATTATCGTTTAATAATTTTATGTGAATTTACATGTATTGTCTTTCGGTGCACCGTCCTGTAGGAAGAAGCTAGGGAGTGCCTGTGACGTGATGGTGCACTTATCATCGTTCTTACGAACTAATACTCTGTAACACCTGATCGGCAAAGAAATATTTCCACCGCTTACGGCTACCAAAATGTGACCATCTGAAAATTGTGGACTTTTTTAGCTTATCATTGCAATAGCAGCTACTTTAATCGAGATCTAGATAATTACGTACTTTTGCCATAACATAAATCGACCGCTGTTATCCTATGCCTCGTGCTGCCCAAACTCTCGGTGGAGGAACAAACGGGATTCTGAAAATCTTTCGTGATCATAACAGCACCCACCATGCCTGTGGTCGAGACAACTAATACACCTTCCGCTGCTCTACCTCCGAATTGTCTTACGGATGGTGCGAATGGTAAATTATTGAATTTCTCACTATAGTGAATACTATCTTTTTTCTCAGTCACAAGACCCGTCTGAAATAGTATTCTATGTGAAATTCATGTACCTGGTCACAAGATAATCGTTGTATACTGTTCTAAGTACGTTAATACAGTTTGCAGAAATGTTGGATATCTTGATGAGAACAGTGTACAAGAATTGTTATTAATTTTCCACCTACCTTTTTCCCATTATGGAACCAAGCAGCGCCTAATATATGTTCGCCAAAGAAACATGTGGAACCGATCAATACCCAATCGTTCAGAACATGATCTTTGAACATCCATAACTGAACATTGCCAATCGAATCGGCGACGACTAACTTGTCACCTGGCAAATCCCACTCTAACGCAGTTATCGTATTCTTGCTCGACAGCACCCTAATCAACGAATACGAGATGATTGTTTAGAATCAAATTTGCAAAGGTCTTTCGAACGATAAGAAATGATATATGGATTGACTCGTACTTGTGGATATGCCAAGGCATATTTAAATCGCAGACGTAAACCTGAGACCCCCATGTCTTTCCACTGTTGTCGTCTAATTCAGTGGTAGTTGTGAAAGCAGCTATATTACGACTAGATAACGAGCACAACGACTGTCCCTCATACAGGCTAAAAATTTGATTACTGCATAAACATTAGAGGATTATATTTTAGAAGTTATATTCTTGGATCAGAAGCTAATTAAATGTAATTCACGCTATTATTATTTATAAATACGCATTCGTCAATTATTTCAAAGTGAATTTAAATACTCGTAAAAATAAACAAAATACATTGTTTACAAATATTTATACAGAATAAACAAACTTGGGAAACATTGTAAAAATCGATAATTATTATTATTAACAAAAACAAATAAGATGAGAATGGTCTACTTACCTTTCCTGATTTATAAATGATTTTACCGTTACTTTTCTATTAACAGTGTACAGTAAATCCATATCGAAAGTTAGGTTATGTCGAGAGTTGATAAACGCTTAACTGAATATGCTCGAACTTTATTATCCGTTCGCGCATTGCGTTTCACACAACACAGAGAAAGACGAAAGCAATATCGAGTTTTTATTAATTTCACGAATTGAAAATTATACCGGAAAAACTATAACAGATCTACGCGCACATCACACCGTCACCGCACCAGATGCCAACAAAGGCCAAACCGGCCAAACGGCCAAACTGATGTGCGTTACGTTTACGTTACGTCTTACGTCAATGACGCCGACGCCAGCCCAGCAGGCCCAGCACCACAGTATATCTATAGGTATACTGTGGCGGTAGTGTGTTTGTGATGCGATATGCGATCCATCCGAATATGCATCGCACCTCGTACTGATTTAGGTCATTCGCAATTATGAGACATTTCCCATCATTTTCAGTCAAAGGACCCACGAGCGAACGCTAAACCGACGAACCGCGCGTCGATTGCGAGAGAGAACGGTACATTATTCCCGTCAATCAACCCTACAATGCAAGTGTTTATAATGCGTTTTAACCTCTGCTCCGTTTGTTTTGGTTCTGCTTATGTTTCCCTTGAAACTGGCTGTATTAATAAATTACATTTTTCATCTCTGTTCTTTCCTTTATTTATTTAAATCCCCTCTGCCCTCCTGCCCTCCACTATCTTCGCTATAAGAAAATTGCGAAATGTTGCTTAACTTTCTGCCGATCTATGTTTCTGGTTTTGGTCATTTATCTCCCGTGTGCATTAAATAAATCGTCACCGTGAATGTTGATATTATAAAATGAGAACAATACAGAAATTGGACTGCATGGCGTACGAATAAATCTGAGAACAAGGACGTCAGATTCTATAATCATTTTTCTACAATCTCATCTTTTGTTTATCTTGCACGTTCTATTTTTTCCATTGTAAACGTAAGTTGCAAAGGAACAGTGTAATAAATACTTTGTTATGGCACCCGAATAAAAGTTGGGATTAGGTATTCACATACGTACAACAATCCTAGTATTATAGTTGTAGCGTGTTACTTCGTTCTGCATACATGTTTATTTTTTTGTAATTCACGTAATCTACCCAGGTGAATCGGTGAATCTCAAATGCATGGCATATGTTAAGTCTTACAAAAATTTAATGACACCACTAAAAGATGGATAGTGATCACGCGAAGGACAGCACTTCCAAATTAAGTGGGAACACTAACAATAAATCTGAGGAAATATTAGGACTGAGCACGAGAGAAGCGCTTGAAACGTTGCAACGTGATATTAGAAGGGTCCTGTTCGAATATGAAGAAGAATGTAGAAGGAATAAGTAAATAATCTATAACAATAGAATGCTACTAAAGCTTCTCAGTTATTTCATGCTGTATATAATTGTGTACAGAAAATATAAAGCTTGGCTGAGGGACACTTTACATCATCGTAGTCAGTACACGACTCTTTGTTGGACATCAGCAATTGCACTTTTGATCAATGCTATTATTCTCATCACCGCATTCTTCACGATCGACGATACGACTTGGTATGAAGATCTCTTTTTCGTGTACCAGACACAAACTCGAGTTGCACAGATAATATTCATGATACGTGCTAATCCTATTATATCATGGCTTTAGAATTCGGTATCTTAGAAATAAACAATGAAACGATGTATAAAACGTTTCGCTATTCCAGGTATCCCACACTGCCCTATGAAGGACTGACCGTCTGTTGTTTAGTGATGTTAAACTTTATTTTAGTCGTGTCGGATAATAAATTGCGACACGAAGAAATTCCTTACAGGATACGAATCCTCATCGACCAATTAGAAGGTATTTAAATGATTTCTATATCTTTATATTTTTGCACAAATCATTGATCCATTTCAGCGGCGAAGAGTACTTGTCAATGGGATACGGAAAATTATCCGCATCTGTGCAGCCCACTGTCTCCTTGTTTAACTCTGCAGTGGACTTACCGCGACGGACACATAGTTAATCTACCATGGGCATTGTTAGTCGCCGGTGACATAATTGTAATAAAACCTGGACAACAAGCACCGGGCTATTCCGTTCCCTATGACGTGCGTTTTTGTTCAAAATTGATTCGAACGTGAAAAATAAGTAAAGATAATGAAAGATGATTTCAGGATTCCGATGCTTCGGTGTTGCACGCGAGGGAAGTGTACAGTCCGCAGGTTCACAGCGCGAACGAGATTTTCTCTACGCCTCAAGCGCGATCGCCGTTGAAGAACAAGATTTACAAGCTTCAAGAAACACCGTATTTGATGAATCTCAGAATGGCTCTCGATCAAGCCCTCGACAGGCCAGTGACGTATCATAATCGGAAACGTCATCTTCTAATGATCTGCTGCATCGAACAACTTGCCTATCCGGTTCTACTGATCATCGTATTGATCGTAAATCTGTTTCGATACTTGTATTTATCGGAGTACTTTGGTATCGGGAATTGGAGCGAGATGTTCCTGTTGCAACCGATCGCAGTTAGTATTCCCTTGCTACCATTGATATTCCCAACGTTTTGGATCTTCTTGAATTGCTTCGGCATGGCTCGTTTCAAGGCACTGTTCAAGCTCTATCAATCGTCAAAGAAGCTTCAGGTTAATAATTCAAGTGATAAGGAATAGATGTTAATTGAGTTCTATGCTGAAACTCGTCGTTTTAGTTCGTAGATCCTTTTGAGGATGCGGACTTCACTGGACCCAGTCACCCAGAAGTAGTTTACAATTGGCAAGAATTGAAGGAATACTTTTTCGATATTCTGTTCGGTAAAGAACACATGATGTCGAGATCCGCGAGTATCCTGCATGTTTTAGGATCAGTCACGGTATTTCAAATACAGGATCATGCAACCGCTGACATGAATGAAGACAATGTATAAAAAAACGGTTCGGTTTCCAGGCATTGTGTTGCGTGGATAAGAAAGGGATTCTTTCGTGGCCTAATCCAACCGCGGAGAAAGTATTTTTTTTACGAAACGCCAACACCCTGTCACCGTCTTCGAGGTGAGTGCATACGTAAAAAAATGTTAACTGCCACGAGCGTTCAGTGAATGAAATTTCACAGCACTGGTAGCTTAGATAGAACGTCGGAACATCAATGTCAAACTCAAACGGAAGATTCGAAGCAAGAATCGAACAAGACGTCGTACGTGACGCACGGTAATGAGAAAAGGTCGAGGAGCCTGGAGGTGAACTTGACGAGGGAACTGGAAATCATTTTTCAGATATGTCTCACTCGAAGGCCGAAGTCCTGGATCTGACGCACGATCACGCGTTGCCGTTTCGTCTGCAGTTTGACGATCACTCGTGGAGGCAACATTTGAACTCATTGAAACCATTAGGTTTAGCGATTCTTCTTAATACGTGTAACATGGACACCCAGGAGGGTTACATGCAATTCTGTGGCCACATCACGTGCGAAGCGTTGTATAACGAAAATCTTGTCCCAGTAACGAACAGACGGTATGTGCAGTAGCAATTCCTTCAGATCGTTGTTTTTCGTTCACGTGTTTCGCATCGCATTTCCCCTCATTATTGTGTCATGTGTGTGCCATTTATTGGAACTAATCATTCCCGAATGTCTCAAGCTAATCGAATCCTGCTCAATCCTTAAGACAGTCCAAAAATAACAAGGTCTAATTGCCAGTAACGTTGATCGTACACGTTTGTCAGCTACCAGGAACAGTGTGTAGAGGATAATAACGGGTGTCGAGCGAAAGATACAGTGCAAAGTTCAGCACAGGTGTATTTAGCCGACGAGTCGGGAAGCCTTGGACACATGTGGTCAGTCCCACCATATAGTTACTTTTATCTGCTCCGTTATGTAGTTAAATCCGTTTTACGTGGCTGAATGTACATTATATGGGATGCTAATCATGGGACATTTCACGTTTCCGTTTTGTTTCTCTCTATTCATTCATCGATAATAGATCAACGACCTTGTTGAAATTCATTGATTAAAAATCCTATGTAGGTGTTTGTGCGAATTAGCGAAGCAGATAGGTTTCCAAGACCAGGCGCAAAATATATTCCAACTGGAGCAACAATTGTCCACGTTTAGGCATGTCGTAAGCATCGTTTCAATTCCTCTTACTCAGCCTCGAAAAGAGATGATCAACATTTTCCGCGCCCTGTTTTAGCAACCGGAAATGGTTCGGCGAGATATTAAATTCGCAAGGTCTTTGAGCATTGCTACGAAATTGAAGTTCCCATTTCCCCACATGGTCGCCGTGGTCGTTAGAGAACGAAGCGGAGGCGGTTTGCAATTGCTTACACAGGGCACAGCGGACATAATCTTGGACTCCTGTATCGAGTTCTGGGATGGTCACGATCTCTGCCCGCTATCGGCAACCGACAGGTACGAGAAAACGTAATTTCATAGCACCTTGATTTCCTATCGTTTGTACGTTTTAGGAAAAAGGTGCAGGACTTTTATCAGAGGACGAGCTTAACGTCGTACTGTACCGCGTTCGCGTACAGACCTCTGACGCGCGGTATCAGTGACAAACTGTCGCACATATACATCGAACTTCCTGCAGACAGCAAACATTTGTATGCGCCGCACAGAAGTCCCACCCCTTTGCCCTGGGACTTTAAAAACGTCCTCGATCCGAGAGTAAAAAGCATACTTGGACAATTTCATTCGACCGGCAAGTAACTGCATATCACTTATGGTATCAATTAAATTTTACAATCTGTACTCAGCTTTTAATATGAAGAATTATGTCTTCTGCACATTCAATTTTCTTCGAAATAGATAAAATGCTAATTTTTACAGATTCTTTGTTGTGCTATGAGAATAAGGACGACAATGTGGGCGACGTGGAAAGTTGCTTCGAAATTCAATGCAACCAAGTTTTCATAGGGATGGTGACTATGCAGTATCAAGCACAAACGGACATGGTAAGACGACGATTTATCAGTTCTTCCTATTGGAGTCAACCGACAAAATTTTTAACAGGTACAATTAATTGAGCAACTCGACAGAGCATGTATCCGTTTCGTTCACTTCAGTAAGGAGAACGAATTGAGGTCGCGGGTCTTCTCCGAGAAGATGGGATTGGAGAGTGGATGGAATTGCCACATATCGTTGCTCAGTGAGCGAGCTAGGTACGATACTCGATTCCCTTTTAACGCTGATCAATTTCTCTAGAGGAAACTATTTTGCTTTGCTTTATTTTGCTTTTCGATTAATCTGAACAGGTTTGGGGCATGTCCTCACGTTGAAAAGTAATTTCGAATTTTCTATTCTCTGTACGTGTAAAAAGTCTGTGTATAAGAAACGTATGTTCGACACAAAGTATTCACACTAATCGTATGTTGTTGGTGTTTACAATTTTCTTCTTCGTAATTAATCTAATTCTATTACGTTATATGTCGTCTTTTATTGTTAGTGTTTCGTCACGTTTTTTCTCTAATCTGTTGTCAAGTTTAAAATAAATACGCTGGTAACCGATATTACGACGGATTTTGTTTAACTAGCTATTTGGTCATAACTGTGGATATGAATGTAAAATATGCATGTACGTTACAGGAGACAGCAATGGCTGGAGAGATATCCACACATGACGTATATGTTTGTCTATACCTCTTTCTTTCATTACTGTTACTAATTTGCATGTCTATTCGTTACGCTCTTTAACTAATCATTTCTATTATTATTACCGATTATTATTCGTCGGTTTCGTCTATTTAGATTTTTACTTCGAATGCATACGTTCTGATTTATCGTTTTCCCCCCTTGGTTTGATTTCACGATTGATTACATTAGATATTTTAGTGAGAAGTTTCTGCAGTTTAAGTGCCCCCCTTTTTTTAACGATACGTTCCACGAGTTTTATTACTTTCTTAATTGATTAGAGCATTCAGTTACAAGATTTTATACGCTGGTAGTTTACCGGTGGACGACCACCGTTTCGTTAGTTCCAATGGCTTCTTCATTAGCGGATACTGTAACTCTATTTAAAGATTACCTACGGTTCTCGTTACACCTGTTACAGTTATTCTATGCACATGTGTTAATATCTCGTAAATTATACCATCGACATACATAATATACACGAATAAATGTATGTAACTAACACGCCAATATTAGGTCCGAGAGTCCAGTGGGTTGGTGGGTGAGCCAGGCAGCAGCCATGTCCTCACCCACTCCCTCGGCCCAATCTCATCAGCATAATTACTCCTGCATGGATGAGGCCAGCCACTTGCTTAATCGTGTCTCTCCTCGGTATGTTACAATATTACCCTTTCTCTCTCTCTCTCTCTCTCTCTTATCACATTACATTAAAAAAAAAAGACACTAAAAACGTTTCATTTTCTACACGCGCGGTCGCGTCAGAGGAATGACGAGCCGAATATTTCATCTGACGTGAAACGTGCTTACATGATATACGAACATCTGAATAGAACGATAAAGAAACAGAGCATGAATTCTATTTCTGCTGCATAATTATGCTGCATCGATGTGTTTGTGTCCTAAGGATTTCTATCCTGCATGACCGAACGCGCGTACGAATCGACGTGCAATAGTAGCGTCTGCTTTCTTTGTAGCACGAATCTGGACAACAGCCGTGCTATGAGCATGTCGGCCCCGAGCGCTATAAACACTGATTTCACCACGGTGAAGTTCGACGACGAGACCACCGAGTGGAATGACACGGGGACGTCCCAAGTGAAGAGCGCTATGAGCCACAGGTTTGTTTCATTCTCATTTGGAAGATATTAAATTCCTTTTTGCTTATGTTTACAAGATTGTTTCGAATCGCTTTAATACGATTTTGAATTTGCACGGCAGTCTAAATCAACTAGTGCAAAGGATCACGCGAAGAGAATCGGCGCGCCTTTCGTAATTACTGTTCCGTTCATTCTGTTTGACTAGAATAGATTTTGTCTCTTTGTCGCGTTTCCTAGTTTTTGAGAGTTCGTCTACTAACGAGTTTTAACTTTGCAATAACACGACGAGATCATCTCGTTCTTTTTATAATCACTTCCCTAACGATTTCTCAATAGGGAACAAGATACTGTTAGAAGCGAAGACAGTGTGCTCGTGCAAAGCGTGGACTTAGGATCCGGTCAAGAGGCATGGAGATCTCTGAGTTGTCTTACGGACAGCACAGAACAAAGCGCGCCCGTGAACTTCGATTTATCGAACAGGGTGAGTTCCTTTATACGAAACATTGTATCCTATTCGGTATCCTAAATCGATTGATCACCTAGGCGAAACTACCTCGAGGCATTGACAAGATTCGACCGCACATAGAATTGATAGACAACGTACCCCTTTTGGTATCTCTGTTCACCGATTGCAACACGGCTGTTACAAGGGAGATGTTGCACATAATGCAGGATTACGGAGAAGTCGTTTGCGTGCTCGGTTCCTCTGCCAACGCGGAGAACATGCCTATCTTCATGCAAGCCGATGCAGGGTAACTACTTCATTAAATGATCAACGAATTTTTAAGGAAACTGCTGAGTGTATTACTATGTCACAGAAATGTCTTCGATCACGAAATTACCAGGAACCTGATAACTCGTACTGTACACGGTTTCATTCTCAATTTTAGCCCTGACAGTCGGCTTGTAGGGCACGCGAATCCTCTTACGAAGAGGTTCCACGTATTGATAAGACAGCTTACTCGTGGTTTGATAGTCCGTTTTGAACTTAGTCTGCCAGAATTCCCGTTTACGCGGCCTTTTCACCTCGATGTGCTTGCCAAAATCTTGATAGGATTCCTTCATCACCGTTTTGTATTCCATGGGTATAGGAAGTTCAGTCCTTCCTCTGTACGGCGCATAAGATTTCGTTTTCACGTAACCTGGATTCATGTAAGACAATTTCTGAGTCGTGGCCATATCGTGGACTCCGTGTATGGCCAGATTCTCCTTGGGAATGAAAGGTTTCCGCAGATGCCCAGTCGCGGGTTGATAAGAAAACTTGTACACCGTGTCAAAGTCGATTTTACCGGGTTTCTGAGCCAGCATCTTCTCGTACTTCCCAAAACTGACTCTCATTCTTGGAGTGCTGTCGAATTTCGTATAAGACAAACCGTACGTCGTATACGATTCAATCTTCTGGGTCGGTTTTTGGTAAGGTCGCACATACACTATGGGACGTTGTCTTTCCGGTTGCTGGTAAAATTTTCCATTTCGAAGAATACTCTTAGGCTTGCTTAATTTCTCTCTTTTACATTTGATATCGTCAGCAATGAACACCATTTTCGTCTAAATTTTCGTTCGCGTAAAATGGTAAAAAATTCGAGCAACACGAAGAGAGTGTCGAACGGAATGAATCATTCATTTATTCCCTGCAGTGTTCAAGCGCGATTTAATTAACACGTGGTTATAGTGTGGCAATGGAACCACTGTATCCACAAGTCTGCCAAAGAATCCCGGTGCTCGCGTCAACCAGGGAGGACCAAGGGCCATCCCCAGTCGACTTGAGCAGGGCACTGAATTCTGTATCTTGTTCACTGAGCGTCAAACGAGAAGATCCAATCGCGATTTTTCATCTAGTCATGGAGGTGAAATTCTTATCTTGTATAAAAATCTGCAAATCTACTGATTATACCAGTCGATCAATAATTAAGACTAATTGATCCCACAGGCTCGGCATTATATGACGTGTCTATGGAACTGCGTGCAATTCTGGCTGTGCTGCACGATCACGCTGTCCTTCACGCAAGCCATGTCCGGCTTCTTGCTGCTGCCACCCCTGTTTTCAGTCGATCAAGTATTATGGTTGTGCTGCTTAATCATTCCAGTGTTGTCGATATCCATGATCGCTACGCCCATAGACCACACCATAATGCAACGCGCGACTGGCAAAAATCAGTGCACCGTGAACGGACAGGTAAGCAAGGTGCAATTCCTTCGGTTCCTATGATTCCTCTACGACGTCGACTTCACAGGTTGCGCTGTTCGTCTTATGGTGCTACGGCAGCAAATTTTTGCCAACGGTCGTGACAATTGTATTGTCTCAGTGTATCTCACTTTTGACACTGTGCCCCATTTACACGACTGACTCGAAGTGTCTGTACGTGTACCCGGATGTACAGGGCGAGGTTCCGTGGGGCGGTTGGGGCGACAAACCTAATATTATTCTAGTGATACAACACTTCGCCTTGTCGCTATTAGTTTTACATTTAGGTAAACGGTTGTTCATGTTTATTTCATTTGGATCTTATGAATCATTTTAAAACGTGTTTTACCCTTTTTATAGTAACAATATCCATAGGCTTTGTACATAGAGAATATTCCATTTGGAAAAAGCAACCGTTCAACAATTTCGTATGGTTCTTAAGTGCATTTATAGCGTAAGTAAATGAGGCTTGATTTATTATTTGAAGACTATTGTTGCTAATTGTTTATTGTTCAGGTTGTGCGCACAAGCAGCGTTCTCGGGGACGGTGTTTTGTAAATTCTGGAAAGACGAGGGTCAAAACATCGAGGACTTCCCTTTACATCTTCCCCTATTTTTCTTAGTTTCCTTGCCACTGATTTTCCTCATTAACGAACTGATCAAGTGGCAAGAGATAAAGTAAGTATGGATGCTGGCTGCGGTAGGTTCAGTTGATTTATCAATTGGTTGTTTTTCAGAGTAAACGTAAGGCATCAAAAGAGAGCGCGGCTGGAATTCGGTACAAAACTTGGAATGAATTCACCGTTTTAAGCAATGTGAAACGGTGCATGTAGAACATGGTACGTTTACGTACGTGGAGTGCAGTTAGGAAATCTAAAATACTCAAGTTCCGCATGATACTGTTACTGTGTTAATGTACTTCGCGAGGAGATCTGTAATAATTTATTATTTATTTATTCGAAATACGTTCGGCTAGCTGTAAATTCTTTAATACACGAAGACAGTATTTGAAATTCAAATCCTACGAGAATCCTGCGAGAAGAAACTTCGAAACTGTACAGTTTTGAAATCTGTAGAATTGTTTCTCGTAATTCGATATCAAATGTTTATATTTTTGTATAACACGAAAATGATATTTTGTATTCTGAAAGTTATACGATAGGTACTATATTGCACTGAACGTAAAGATTCACTGTTGCAAGCCTGTGCCACCGAGGAGAGATTACTAAAGAGTGGCAGCATTATGGGACCTTGCGTCGCACGAAAAAGTATGCAAATTTTTAGAATATATTGCCACCGAAATAGAAGGCAAAACAATTGTCGATGTTAAACAGTTGCCAGCTAAAAGAAAGATCCCATGCAATTTCCTTTTAACTCCACTCGTTAAGAAATAATTGGCGATGAACGAACTAATTAATTGATTACTCCGGAACTCCTTTACTTTTATTCGAAGCATTTTTCGAAATTTTGGGGAAAAAAGATTTTAATTTTTCCGAGATTTCGTCAAGGGGTACAAAATACCGATTAATTGTACTTAACTCGTTAAATACCGAAGTTAGAAGAAAAATTCACAGAATTTTTCTTGTAGAGAACGTCAGTGCCTACAAGTTCCGTATAAAATTTTTTTTGTATTTTGAGCACCATTGGACCCTATTCGCTGTCCCAACGATTACATCAACATTGCGACTTTTTAGTAGTATCTCCTCGGTGCTATAAGATACATTTAATTTGTACATATATATAGATGGTGTGCAATATCTTATCCTGATTTCGACTTGTGACCTATTGCTATTTACATATTTTCGCTAAGTATACATAGGTAAAAGGGTAAAGTACAGCAACAAACATGAAGAAAGTACATACTACACGAAGATATTGAAATGCCATTTGATTTTTAGTCTTATTCGTAGAAAATGCTTAGAGACATTTTTTGTGTTCCTATAGGAAATAATTGATCTTTAGTATTATGAGAAGGATACTGCTTTTTAATCGAGTTTATTAGGATAATATGTTTTGCATGACCACTTGTACAGTCTGCAAGCATTATATTGTGTGAATGTTTTAAATAAATGGCTTTGAGAACTACTACAATTTTGCAATTAGACGTTAGACAGATGTGAAATTAACATGCGAGACCGGGAGATCGCTCTAGAACACGAGGCGTATTCAAAGCGTATCTAGATTCAAATCATAGGCTTGATTTATTTTCAATTATATTGTACAGTACATTGCTGCGGAGTTCATTAAACGACGGCCGGAGCTTCGTTCGATAAATAATTTCGATTCTAAACAAAAGTTTCCACGATGTCACCCCATTTTACGTAGGTAGAAATATTTCGAAAAACGTTTTATATACATTTCATTTTTATAGAACGATTGAAGAATTTGACTAAATATACAATTGTAAAACAATTACTGACGTTCAAATAAATTTTTTCGTTAAATCCAATACTATTCTTATTGATATTCCCCATTGATGTTTCTCTTTTATGTTTCGGATTTAAGGATGTATTGGCTATACATTCAATCACAAAAGTTTATGCACTTTAGAAACGCATTTTTAAAAAAGAAATCAGACGTCGGAAGAACAATACTAA